GCTTCTTTTGCTGAATATATTATATGCAAAATCACCCATATTCTTGCATATATCATTAGTTAGTTCCTTTTTATTGGTGTTATATTTTATTGTATGTATATACCACAACTTGTTTATTATTTCTCCTATTGATGGCCATTGCCTTGTTTCTGATTTTTTGCTCTTAAGACTAAAGCACCAGACACCCCCACTGTGAATGATTTCTCTGCTCTTTTCCACATCAGTGAGTTATGCCATCACATACCCACTTTATAGTCAGGAATCATTTTCTGTTTCTTTCTCTTTCTTTTGATTCTCTCGTTTGATTTCCTGGATTTTCTCTTTTTGGGACTTATTCTCAGCTTCAGACTTCATTTGTTGACTACTCTACCTGATGATAAGATTACCCATTTATTATAAAATGATACAACTCAGGAATAGCCACATGGAGGAGATGCATAGGGCAAAGTATGGGGGAAGGGGTAGGGTGCTTCCACACCTTCTCCTAGTACCTCCACCTGCGAACCAACCCAGAAGTTCTTGTACTTTCTCTATAAAACTATCTTGGCTTTCCTAGGTTCTTTGAATTTCCATATAAACTTTAGAATCAGATTGTTAATTTCCACACACGTACACATACCCTGCTGGTATTTTAACTTAGATGACATGGATAATATAGCTTAATGGGGAGAGTCAATATCTAAAAATACTGAGTCTTCCAACTCATAAACATAATATATCTATCTTTCCACCTAGTTAGGACTTCTTTAATTTCCTTTAGCAATGTTTTCCCTATAAAGGCTTTGCATATCTTTTGTTAGTTTTATTCCTTCTTGATGGGTTTTGGTGCTTTTAAATGGCATTTTTAAAATCTTATTTTCTAATTATTTGTTGTTTGATATATGTGATATGGCTGATTTTTGTATGTATATCCAGCACCCTTCAAAAATTCACACATTCTTTTAATAATTAATTTGGGGTATTTTATGTATACAATCATGTAAAGTTACTACTTTCTTCCCACTTCTTATAGCTTTTATTTATTTTTCTTTCTTTATTGAATTGTCTAGGACCTCAATTGTAATGTTGAATAGAAGTGGTAAGAGTAGAGAGCCTTGCCTTGTTCCTAAATTAGGTGGAAAGAATTGTGTTTCACTGTTAGAATGATGCTTTCTAGAAGCTTTTTGTAGCTATCTTTACTAGATTAAGAAAATATTTTATTTCTAGTTTGCTAAGAATTTTTAATTATGAAATGATGCTGAACATATCAGATACTTTTTTGCATCTATTGAGATAAAATATTTTTCTGTTGAGATTTTCAAATGTTAAGCCAAATTTTTTATTCCTGGAAGAAACCACCTTTGGTCTTAAAGTATTATCCTTCTTATGTATCCCTAGATTCAATTTACTAATATTTTATTTAGAATTTGTGTATAAGTTAAAGAGAAAGATTGACCTTCAATTTTCCTTTTTTAAAATGTCCTTATAAGCCAGTCTACAATGAGCTTAGCTGGGGTGTCTGGGGTAACTCATGGCTTCATTCTCCATTGCGCTAGCCTGGATGTGTTCTCATGGTGATGGCAAAGGCAAGAGCTAGAGTAGAATCTTACAAGGGCTTTTGTAAGCCTCTGCTTTGTATCATCTAATTGACCAAATCAGCTTACATCATGAAGCCCAATATTAGAGTGAGAGGGCACTATAAGGTGGATACAGGGAAGCTGAAGAATTGGGCAGGGAAACAATTCTATATATGCAAAAAATTTACAACTACTAATACATATTCAGAGACTTGAGACTTGGGCAGTTGTATAAAATCCCTTTGTAAATATTCAAAAAGGCCATAAGGAGGAGGGTCTGAACCATATCTTACTCAGGTTATGCTATTTATAAGTAAAACATGATTCTACCACTCTCTTTCCTAATTTTGAATATTATAAGAATAATTATGGAGTAATTTGACCAGGGTCTATTAGATAAATTATGGCATTTCAGGGCAACCATCTCCAAATTGCCAGAATCCATCTTTATGGATAAAGCATCCCTTGATTGTCAATATTGTTTTTTCAGTAGGTTGACCTGATAAATGTGAGTTAATTATGATTGCCTAAATTGAGCCAATTTTCTTTTATTTTTAAATGTTTTTATTGATTTTTAAAGAGAGAGAAAGGGAGAGGGATAGAGAGATTGAGCCCACAACAGGGGCATGTGCCCTGACTGGAAATCCTGTGACCTCTTGAGTCCTGGGTAGATGCTCAACCACTGAGCCACGCCGGATGGGAGAGCCAATTCTCTTCTGTAGTTTTGGTGGTGATAAATATCAATTTAGCAAAACAATGTTAGCTGGGGTGTTAAATAGAAGTCAAAACTTCATTTAGCATGTAAATCAAAGCAAAGATATTACTCTTGGCTTCTAGACTGGTCTCTAGGCTATTGGTTTCTATCAGTTATTATACTGTTATCTCCTTGGAATATTGCTAAAGTTCTAATAGGTCATTGATCCCTTTACCATTTTTAATCAGCATATTTGAAGAAGAGATAATCATCTTTTTTCATAAAATCCAAGTCATAAATCACCCTGATGGCATACCTACTATTCATATTAATATTTACTCCTACCATTTGCCAAAGTGCAGGCTCAAGTCTGAGCTATTAGTTCAGTTACCTGGGCAGACTGAGAATTAGGAATGTAACTACTTCAGTGGTTGCACGTTCAATGATAACAGTGTATTCTGAACAGAGATGCTTTTGTCATTTTTAAGATAAAAGCCACCTATAGCTATTTTAAATCAAGGTTGACTAAAGGGTGCAAGATTCGGATCTGGCCATACTTAACTCCTGAGAGAATGCTAAGCAGTCATGTAGGGTTATATTTTGAACATTACTGAATAGTAGTACACAGAGTCAATGGTAGAATTTCACAAGTGGTACAACTGAATATTCTTTATCCTGGTCAAGGACAGAAACTGTTCATCTGGTAACAGATTGTGATCCCCAAAATGTACTTTCTTGGCAAAGTTTAAGTTTTCTCTAGGTGTTTTATGTCTCTCTTCAGTTCATTTGGGTAAGAAGTATTCGGAGTCTTCAGGTAAACTACTTAAACCAGAAAACACAGGAGTAAATTGCCTACATATTGAGGCAAGGATGGACTCCTGGAAAAAAATCAAATCGATAAGATTACTTTTTATACATTTAGAGAAATATGAAGGTGATTTTAAATGTCCCTGAAGTTTAACATTCATGTACATTAATTTTCCCATAAAAAAGCAAATACTGTCTCTATATGCGGATATACTAAAGAAGGCTGCACATAAATTAACCACTGTAAAATATTTACTTGTTGAGAGAATGAAGGTTTCAGGACAGTATTTTAATGGTTGTATGATATTTCATTAGTGCTGTAATTAACATCTAATGTTGGATATTTAGGTGTCACTATTTTCAATAACACAAGCAAGGAAGGCACAAAGCTTTTTTTGGATAGATTCCTAGGGGTGAAATTATCTGGTTGAAGAGTAAGAATATTTTAGGGTTCTTAGTATATATTGCCAAATCCAATGGATTCTATCAGCAATAAGTCAAAGGTTTTATTTTCATGCCATATTTGCCAGCATTGGATTTTCTTATTAAAAAGGAAAGGGCTAATTTCATGGGTGAAAATGGCATTTCACTGTTGCTTTGACTTCTTTATTGGTGAGGGTGAATATTTCTTTATGTAGGTTCTTAACCAGGGGATCTTCTTTTTTGTGAATTTATTTGTTTTGGGCCCATTTACTATAGGGTGAGGGATTACAATTGTTGTTAATGAGTTATTAGTTTATACTAGTATAACTAATGTATAGATTACATTAGGCATAGTCCCCATTCACTCAATTTTACTGAGAAATCTTCTCCCCTGTTCTCTGTTATACTGAAGCATTTTTAAAACAGAAATTTCAAATTTTTATGAATTCACACTTAAATCTGTCAGTTTTCCATTGATTTAACACTTAGTTCTTCCTCATCCAAAAAAGTGACTAATGTTCACTTAAATTTCTTAGAGATATTTGTGAGTTTTTATATTTCATTCCTCAATTCATCTAGGATCCCATGAATTTTTTAAAGTAAATAAGACTACTTATCCTCCCTACCCCAGTACTATGCAGACTTAGAATGTTTATCTTTTTGACTTGACAGGGACTAACCAATTAACAAATTCATCACTTTGATACCTTAATTTTATTTTTCTCAATATTAAGCCAGTAAACATTGCTCTTAGGGTACTATACTAGTCAATTTTTGAACTTTTTAATAGTCATTTATTTTGTTGCACAGAGACATGCATGTGTGTGTGTGTGTTTCAGATGGATAAGTTTGCTGAAATATATTAGTGCTGTAAAGTAACTGTTTTTTTAAAAATAATCACTACTTATTTCTTATTTTAAAAGTGACGCATATATGCACATAGTATGTATATATGTACACACATGCACATATATTCATTTTATAAAATAAGAAAACACAAGAGACAAAAAAGTCTCCATATTGCTACCACTTACATAAAAGTTGATATGTTTGTTTCTTTCTATCATGCATATAAAAGCAACCATATCATATTTTTTTTGCATTTATTTATCTAAATAGTGTTTCGGTATATTGTAATATCCAGATCATTATTTAAAAGACATATCAATTCAGGATTAGATCTAGATAAGAACCATATATTACTGTGAATTAATGATTTGGAACAAATTTACTTAAAGCTAGTTAACCATCTAATTTCTTTTTCTGGTAGCTTAAGCACTGTGCAATTATAGTAGAGGCCAATCAAAGTGGTTAAGCACAACTTTGTGTGAGTTTTTGAAAACCATCAGTGGGTTAGATATGATTTGGAATATACATAACCTCATATTTTCTGAATCTCCCCTAAAAGGTGCTAAGTGAGAGACAAGTGAATAAAAGGTAATAACCATTTTAGGTTATTCCTAGAAAATGGGTTTTGTTGTCATGTGGATATATGTAAGATATGTGTCCATCTTTCTTAGGAAGTTGTGCGGTTTCTGGATACCAAGCATCGAAATCACTATCAAGTCTACAATCTTTGCAGTATGTGCATGACTAGATATTTTGCTACTATAGATAGAAAGTAGATCATTACATATAAGAAGATGATTCAATTTTTACATTTCATTTAATCATAAGTATTTGGTGGTGGTGAGAAGTGAGTTAAAAAATCTCCCCCTTGTGCCGACCCTATTTGGTGGGGCAGGCAGGAGCTGGAAGTGGAGGTGGAGCCATGTTAGGAAGAGTTTACTCTAGTGGTATTAGGTTTAGGAAAATATTTCTGGTTTTCCTGCCAATTTGTGTTTTGAAGATAGACAGTTCAACAAATGCATTCTATAACCCACTAGGGGTGGGGCGTGAGGAGAGCATGGCTCTACACGAAAAACCCTGTAAAAAACACTGTGTTCCAGCTTACTGCTCTGCCTCTTCTGATTTTTTTCTCTTCCTGTATATTAGACATTTTCAGGAAGCATTTTTATTGGCCATATTTGCTTCTGCTCTGTGGTGTCTAACTACCCTAGCATAATGTAATGCGTAGCGTGCTAGAAAATTAAAAATAAAGCCTACTAAACAAATCAAAATAAGTTGAGCTTAGGTTACTCAAGATGGACAAACCACTACTATCTTTATGTATTTGAGACCCTTAAGTGCCTTTTAGTCTAGCAGGAGCCAGTCAGAAAGCTCCTTTTAAGGTGAATTAGGAATTTCTAATAGAAAAATATAACATTCATAACTTGATAATTTACTATGTTTATTAGGTATACAGCTATGACCTATGTATCATTTATTTTAGGTGAAAGAGCTTATGATCCTAAGTACTTCCATTACAGGGTCCATCGAATCATGATTGATGATCACAATGTCCCCTCTCTGAGGTAAGTGCTATGCCAAGTTGGCTGTCAGAAGAGGGCTAACTACATTGGGCTTGATACTTTGGAAGTCTTTTAATTCAACTAAAAATCTTATATTTGAAATCAGTGAGATGGTGAAATTTTCCAAAGAAGTACAAAATTGGATGGCTCAAGATGATAAAAACATCGTAGTGATTCACTGTAAGGGAGGCAAAGGTAAAAACATTTTTCCTTTTTATTTCTCTTTTTTCTAAATAAATTAGAAAAATATATTAAAGTACAAGAACAAGCAACATACTTAATCAGTATTAATAGTTGTTAAGGAGGAAAACAAGGAAAGAGGGAGATAGAGAAAGAAGAAGAAAGGAAAGAAAACAGGCATAAAAGAACTAAGAAAAGTTGAGCATACTTCCCCTTCTTTATTGACTATTTGGGGTTTTTCATTTTTGATTTGCCAAAATATCAGTCAGAATAAAAACTGTGTTTAACTTTAGAAACTGTCAAAGCACTTTAATTTTATTTAAGATTTTTCTTTAACTTTGTAAGAACCTTTTAAGGTTAAAGGAGCAAACAGCAATACTATTTCATAAATCAAAAATTATCTGAAATGTTTATAGTATAATAATACTAAGAAGTTGATTTTGGTGGGGTAAAAAGTTTTTTAAAGCCGTTTGTAAATCCAACTAATTTGAGTTAGGTTTTCTCTCATTTAGCTTTAGACTTTTAATAGTCATCTAAGCAAAATTCACAATTTTTAACAAGGAATTACATTTTTGCTAGATTTTATATTGAATTCCAGGAAAACACAATTCTTTAAAATCGTCTTATATGATTGAGTAGAATCAAGTTTTAGTTTTACCTGAAAATTAGTTTCAAGTCCATTAGTAGTAGGCAAGTTTTAGTGTTAGTTCTACAGGTTAAATATTCTGTATATATTGGCAAATTACAATACATGGATAAATAGAAAATATAGAGGTTGAACCATATGGAACTGCCAGTTTTTAACTATTTTTCATGTACAAAAATGGCACTTCACATGGCTCATAGCGTATGCAACTGACTTCAGTTTTCTGTTCATTAAAGCTAAGTCCCTGCTTGAAGGAAAGCGTTCATTTCTAATTAAAATTTGTTGTTGTTGTTGAGAGGGGGCTTATATTGCTCTGTGTTCACATGCTTTTCATTGGTTTTCCATTAGGATTGTTTGGAGGGCTGGTATTCAGCTGGTATGCACCAGAGCAGCATCTTTTTCAAGTTTTCATTCATATTGGTTTTGCTCTTATTGCTTGGTACCTGCACATTACCAGTAGTGTGGTACTCAAGTACTTTATTATTGATTTGTAAGACTTATTTAAATAATCTGGATGCTAAATTTTTGTTAGTAATTAATATTGAAAATCTCTTCTACCACTGTGTTGTCTTTTAAATTTGATTGTGATTTATTTTGTCTTATAGACTTTCATAATTTACATTGTGAAATTTATCCGTCTTTTTGTATGTGTGGTTTGTGCTTGTCATGTTAAAGAAATCCACCTGTACACTGAGTAAAGATAGTCTACTTATAAAATATTGAAGTTTCAATTTTTTTTACATTTGGGTCTTTAATCTCATTGGAATTTGGGAGGAAGGTGTTTTTTTCCATATGGATGGACAATTGTCCTAACACAACACCATCTATTGCGTGCTCATTTATTCTTCATTGAATTGTAATCTGTTCTCAGCCATATGCCAAGGTTTCACAAATGTTTGGGACTATTTTTAAATTCTTTATACCACATTATTGTAATTGTTATAGCTTTATAATATATCTTGATAAAAACAGAATTTTCTTGTCCCCTTTTACATTTAATTTTAGAAATATTTTTTCAAGTTCTACAATAAAATAAGTTTAGGATTTTTATTGGAACTGTGTAGAATTTGTAGATTCATTTGAAAGAATGGACAATATTGAGTTATACCAAATAGCTTTCTATTTATTTGAACCATCTTGTTTCTTTCAATAATATTTTACTTTTCTTCGTGATGGTCTTGAGTATCTTCTGCTAAATTTATTCTTAGGCATATTGGCATTGCAAAGGGAAACTTTTTCTATTATATTTGGATTGCTTCCAGTTTTTACTCATATATATTATGCTGCTATGAAATACATGTTTCTTGTGCCCACATTTCTGTTGAGTATATACCATGGACTACAATAATTGATCATTTAGCATAATGAGTCTCAAACTTTCATAGATGATGTCATCTGTGTTCCAAAACCTGCCAGTTTCTACTTCACTGGCAATGTATGAAAGTTCTGTATTCCACATTTTTACCACATCTTTGTATTTTTAGTCATTGGGTGGGTCTATAGTTGTATCTCATGATGGCTTTCATTTGCATTTCTGTGATTACTAATAAGATTGAGAAAGTGTTCATAGATTTATTAGCCACTTGTGTGTCTTTTTTTGTAAAGTCTGATTCATTTCCTTGTCCATTTTTCTCCTGGATTGTGCTCTTTTTCTTCCAGTTGACTTATATGATTCTTTATGTATTCTGGATTTTCAGCTGTTATTTGTTACATGTATTGCAAGAAATCTTTTCTGCACTGTAATTTTCTTTTTCTCTTATGAGTATCATTTGGTTAACAGGAGCTTTAGTTCTAACATAGTCCATGTGCTATATCGTTCTTTCTCTTTGTAAGATGTTTTTGTGTCCTGATGAGTTTAAAAGGCATTCTCCTATATTATCTTATAGAAGGCTCATTCCATTTGAAATGGTTTTTTGTATGTGGTGTGAGGAAAGGACCAAGTTTCATCTTTTTCCATATGACTATCCAATTGTTTCAGCACACTGATTGGACTTTCATTTCTTTACTGCTCTGCCGGACACGGTCTGATTCTGAACTTTCTATTCTGTTCATTGATCTTTTTCCTTTACCTGTATGCCAGTAGAGCAACTATCTTACTTATCATAGCTTTCTAATATTCCTGATTTCCAGTCAAGGGAGTCTACCCATCTTGGTCTTCTTCACAATTGTTTGGTTCTTATTAAGTCATCTGTATTTCCATATAAATTTTCTAATCAGCTGGTCAAATTACACACACACACACACACACACACACACACACACACACACAATTCAATTTTGTTTAGAATTGCATTGAATCTGCAGATTGAAGGGAATGGAAATCTTTACAATACTGAGTCTTCCATCCATGAGAGTAGATAGCCCCTCATTTAGTTAGGTGTTCTTCAATCTCTCTTTATAATGTTTTTTATTTTCTGCATAGAAAACTTGTATATTTGGGGTTAGATATATTCCTAGATATTTGATATTTTTATACAATTATTAATTATATCCCTTTAAAATTTTTATTTTTCTAATTGTTTTTGTTGTTCTAAATGCAATTTATTTTATTAACCTTGCAATTAGCAACTTCACTAAATTATTATTAATTCTACTAATTTATCTGTAAATTTTTTGGATTTATGGTAAACAATTATATCATATAAAAATGACAAATTGTATTTTTACTTTTCAATCTTTTTTCCCCCTAACACTAGCCAGAACCTTCAGTATACTGTTGAGTTAGAAGTGGTAATAAGCATCCTTGTTCTTTTCCTGCTCTCAAAGGAAAAGCTTTCAACATCTCACCAATTATATTAAGGATCTTCCGCGTGCGCGCATCACATGTGTGTTTTAGATACTCTTTATCAGATTAAGAAATTCCTTTCTTTTGCTAAGAGGTTTTAGTGTTGTTTTTTTAAATCATGAATGGATGTTGAATTTTATCAGAAGCTTTCTCTGAGGTTTTTAAGAAATGTTTTTATTGATTTAGACAGAAGGGAAAGGAGAGAGAGAGATAGAAACATTGATAGGAGAGAAACATCGATCAACTGGCTCCTGTATGCCCTCTACGGGGGATTGAGCTGCACATGGCTGGAATCGAACTAGTGACCTCTTTGGCTCATGGGTTGACCCTCAACCACTGAACCACCCAGGCCAGGCCTTTTCTGAGTTTTTAAGATGATAATATGATTTTCTCCATTCCATTAATCTGGTTGATTACAGTGATTGATTATCAAGTGGTAAACCAACCTTACATCCCTGGAATAAACACAATTTTGTAGTGCTATATTATTTTTTAATAAATTGCTAGATTCTGTTTCTTAAGGATGTTTTTTTATCCATGTCATGAATAAGATTGGCTATTATTTTCTTTTCTCATAGCATTCTTTTCTAATTTTGCTTTATAAACCAAAATTATCTTCTGTTTTCTCTTTTTTAATTCTCTGGATGAGTTTGGGTAAGTTGACATTCTTTACCTTAAAGATGAGGTGGAATTCACTAGTGAAGCCACATTGACCTCATTGTGGGATATTAGCTTCAATTTCTCTGTGGGGAAGTTTTTAAATTATGGTTCAATTTTACTAGATGTGGAATTTTTTATAATTTTAATTCTTCTGCCCATTTTGGTAGGGTGTATTTTTCCAAGCATTCATCCATTTCATCTAAATTTTCAAATATCGTGGCATCAAATTGTTAAAAATATTATCTTATTCTAATATCTATAGTGGCATTTCTTTTTGTTTTTATTAGTCTCAACAGGGATTTCTAAATTTTATTAGTCTCAATTTTATTTCTCAAGTTTTTTGGCTTTATTTATCATATATATATATACATATATACACACACACACACACACACACACACACATATATATATATATATATATATATATATAGTTTGTTTTGTTTTCTATTTAATGAATTACTATTATCTTTAGTGTTTCCTTTCTTCCTCTTTTTTTGGTTTAATTTGTTTTCCTTTCCCTAACTTCTTGAGATGGATGGTTAAATCAGATTTTTAACCTTTCTCTTTTCTATTCGCATTTAAAGCTATAAATTTCCCTCTAAGAATTGCTTTAGCTTCATTCCACAAGTTTTTATATGCTTTTGTTATTATTTTGTTCAAAATATTTTCTAATTTTCATTGTTTTTGTTTCTTTTACCCATGGGTTACATAGGAGTATATTTTTTATTTTAAAACATATGAGAATTTAGTAATTATCTTCCAGTTATTGGTTTCTGGTTGTATTGCATTATAGTTAGAGAACATATTATGTATTCTTTTACTTCTTTGAAATTTGTTTAGGCTTCTTTTATGGCCCAGAATTTGGTCAATTTTATCACATGTCTTTTGTGCACTTGAAAAGAAAGTCTATTATGCATTGTGA